CCTATCTATGTGTCTGTGTGTCCCGGGCTCTTTTTCTCTCTCTTGGGAGAATCTTAGTGAGGCAAGTTTCCTTTTGTGGTTCTGTGCTGAGCACTTTACATATTTCATCTCTCTTATTCCTTACAGCGTTGGGGTATCGTTATACCTATTTATACAGATTTATACGTCAGCCTCAACTGCAGAGGCTGACCCGAAAAAGTCATAGCGTTTGTAAGAGGAGGACCTGGGATTTCTGGAAAGTCTGGATCTGAATCCTAGTTCCTTACCTCTAGGGCCAGTGTGCTCAGCCTGTCCCACCCAGGACAGTTGGGGAGGTTCTGACTGACCCATCCACACCTCCATGACACCTAGGTTCTAGAGGTCCCAGTTTGCTGTATGATCTAGGGCAGACTGCTTATTGTAACCTCTCTGGGTCTCACTTCCTCATCTTTCCAGTGGGAGCAATGATCCCAAATACCCTGCCCTGCAGTCAGAGGTGTGGCAGGAAAGGCATCTGACTATGCATGAGACAGAGCAGCTGGAAATTGTGAAGGGCAGGGGCTAATGCATTGGACTGTTTTGAAGCTCGAGTGTGCCAGATCAGTGCCCACAGGAGTGAGAGAGAGCTCCCCACTGCCTCTGGGTGTGAGGTCCACGGAGCCTCCAACCACTAGCCTTCCGCCTTCCCTCCCTTTCGGGGGAGGAGAAATAGTCCAGGCTGCTTAGTGCTAGCTCACACAGCCCCTCCCTCCCGCTCCCCTATATCCGGCTGTCAAGTCCCAGCATCAGGAAGTGAGATGTCCAGCAGCCCGCCAGGCCCAACAGGAAGAGGCTGGGATGTGCAACCCCAGCCCTAACAGCTCCTGACACCCAGGACACCCAAACACCCACTTTACCCCTTGAGCAACTCCCGAATCCCTCAATTTCCCTATCTGTAAAATGAGGACTTCTGTTATTCCTGGACTAACTCCAAGTATCACCGAACTGCTGGGAATACCAAATAGGACGAGAAGTGTTCTGAATGCTGCTAGAAATAGCAAACTATCTTTGCATTCCCTGCATGCCCACCCCAGGGCCACAAACAGTAAATTCATGTGCTCAGTAAATGTCAGCGGAAATAGGTGGAGACAGGTGGACTTAGGTTCAAATGTGTATGACCTGGAACAGGTCATCTTTCAGAGCCCCAGAGTCTCAAGCGTCAGCAGCAAGATAATGATGATGCTTGCCTCATAAGGCTGCTATAGGGATTAAATGGGAACAGAAGCATACAATGGTAACATTGATTATTAAAATTAGCTTGTGGGGGCGCCTGGGTAGCTCAGTCGGTTAAGCATCCGACTTCGGCCCAGGTCATGATCCTGCATTTCGTGGGTTCGAGCCCCGCATCAGGCTCTGTGCTGACAGG